AGGGAACCGCAGCTATTGTCAGCAACAACAAGGTCCCACACTCTGATAACAGCCAAGTTCATAGCAGCAAAGAAGCTCACCAAGCTCCTTCAGGAGAGCCCACGTGATAGGAGAACCAGCAGCACCAAATGACGACAGCACTTAGGAAAACTCACAACGCTATTCTTCCTCTCCAGGTCTTCTTTTTGTGCTGGCAGCAATCCTCAGGTGGGCCATCTATACGCGGCACTACGCTGATTCAGTTCAGCTGGTGTTTCAGTTGCCATCAATTTTCAACCTACCACATTCTGATCTTGTTTCCATCACACTCTCCAACATTACTCAAGTCTTATCAAGATCTATCCATTGACTGTCTTTTTTCTCATTGTCATCATTACCACCTAAGTACTCATTTCCCTTCTTATAGTATTTATTATCATCAGTCCCCTTTCTGTCTTTCCTCCTTGGCAAAACCCCAACTCTGCATAAACCAAACTACTTACCTATTTCCTGTTTGAATATTGGTTGAGAAAACCATACACTTGTGCTAATTGGTCTTACTTTGCATTCAAATCCACAGACCTCAAGTAGGACCTTAACAGTGTGGAGTAGTCCACTGCATGTCTCTAGCAAATCGATTTTATTTCTCACATTTTAAAATAAGTGTTTTATTCTCCTTTTCTCAACTCTGTATCCCACCTCTTCTCACTTTTAGCTGATAATCTCATCTCATGTTTAATGATAAAGTATATACAATGGGGCTGTTGGACCATGAATTTCTGCATCTTTCGAATCAGCTTATCTTCCAACCCTTGTGTATTTGTTTTCACATTCCTGCTTGCCCTTCTGTTACAAAGGAAGACTGAACCTTAATTCTGTATAAAACAAGATCTCCCCTTGTGATTTGGATTCTGTTCCTCTTTGACTTCTTAGAAATTTTGCTATTTCTGGCCGCAATTACTGCCTCCTTTCCCCCTGACTATTAGCCCCCTCTCCCTTTTTTTGTTTTTATTGGAATTCCTAACTTGGTGCAATTGACGTGCTTTCTTCTTTACTTCAAAACATGAAAGAATTGTATTTTGCATCTTCCCTTCACCTTCCATTATCTTTCAGCCTCCAGTCAGGTTTCTTAATGAAACATTTGGTGAAACAGTACCATTTTTCAATATCAGATGACAGTAACTTTGATGCAGTTAAATCCCATAGCCTTCTTTCAGTTTATTGTCTCTCAATATTTTATGTATTTGTCACTATTTTCTCTTAATAAACTTCTTTTGACTTTTGTAATACCTTATTCTTCTTTCTGGTGTCATTGGTACCCTCTCTCCTTTTCTGTTTCCTTTACTGTTTCCTCTTCTTGCTATTATCTTCTGTGCCAGTGACTCTTAAAACCTGCTCGCTAGTCTTGTTCACTCAAAAATGAACTTCACATCACAAATTTAATATGACCATAACAAAATTCTTGATTTTTATTATGTGTGAAAATAGCCCTTCTCTGACTTGGGTTTTTTAAGTAAATGATATCACTAACCACTGAGTTGCCCCAAACCATTTTTCAGGTTGTGGAATTCTTTAACCTTTACTATGGGAACAATTACATTGAATATACTAATTGCTTTTAAATACATTTCTTATGGAGGGAAACATCTTGAATTCCTTATGTAATATGCAGTTTTGTGTTTTGAACATTGGCGTTCATCTGTTCACAGGTCAACTTATAAAAATAAAGTAAGTCACCATTATAAAAGTAGTTACCAGGACAAGGAGATGACTCTACCTTAGTTGAGCTTCAGGTATAAGATACTTCTTAAAATATTGCAGGGATATAGGATTGTGTGTGTTTGGTTTGCAAAATAGATACGATATTATATTCCTAGTGTTTAGTTTTGGATTGTTGTGCTTGTAAAAAATCTCATACATAAAGAAGAAGTTAAAACATGCAGGACCATATAATCTGGACCGTCACATCACTGAAACAAAACCTGCAGTGAAAATTCAGACTTGCTTGCCTTTTGAGATTGACCAGGAAGTGCCTCAGAGATGATAGTCATTCCTGGCTGCTGGAGTAGCACTTTGGAAAAAGAAATTTAAGATACTGGGCTTCATGATATTTTTGTTTTGTTTTTTTGTTTTCTTTAAATGAATCATGTCAAATCCTTTGAACCAAATGGATTAGAATTACATTTCTCTATAAAGAAGTTTAAATTGACCCTTAGTTGTATTCCCTGTTTTGTTTTCTTAGGTTAAGGAGCACCAGAGTAAGTCTTAGGAAGACAGACTGAGACCAGATAGCTCTTTGACTCTTTGCAGTGAAACGTGAATAATTACCTGCCTATTCTAAATAACTGTACATTGATGATTTCTTTGAATGTATGAAGCCTTTTCAGATTAATGAATACTCATAGTATCGACTAAGGCAGACACAGAGCAGCATAAATGTTTTCTCTGAGGAAAGTGGTTTGTGATGCTACTATTTCCCTTTGCTGTTCTAATTTAGTCTTTAGTGCAGAAGGGCTTTATTGGTAGTTTTGTTATTAGATAAAATATTGAAAATAGATATAAAATATCTTAAATCCCACAGTAGAAAAACTATATGGATCAGTTGCAAACCTATGTACTTCTCTGCTGTTTTTGTTATTTTTAAATTTATGCTGTTTGAAAACTATTAAGTCATAATTCTCTTCTAGAAAATTCCCCATGATAGAACTGTGGGGGACGGTGGCTGAAAAGATAAGAAGTATGAAATATAAATGACCTTTATTTTAAGAATGCAGGAAGAGACCCCCGACACCCTGGGGCATGGCATTCCTCCCCCCCAGGTCAGCAGAGTGGGGGCATACATGTAGTTTAGGTTGGGGGTGGTGCCTGAGGGGCATTAGTGATGCACGGGTATCTCATTGGCACTTGTTTTGGGCCAGGGACAAATTCCTAGGGGTGGGAAGATAGGGCCACAGGCAAATTCCTAGGGGTGGGGGAGATGGAGCTGGCTACAGTGTCCTGTTTGGGCCAAAATCCTTTCACCCCAGCCAATTACATGTTACATAATTTTAAGAAAACTTAATTCAGTCAACAGACTGATACCAAGTATCAGGCTAATTTCTATCTAGGACCAGGAATTTAGGTCAATATGACTGGTTAAGCCAAAACCAAGATGGGTTAAAATTGACACTTTTTTGAGCAAGAAAAAATAGTTCTAGGACCAAATAGCACTCTGGATCCAAATTGATTCTAAATGCCCCACCCTCTCACATAGGCAGGCTATATTCATAGCCAGAGAAAAGGAAGTGACATAAAAACTTGCTTGACAACAGCCAGCATTGGACATGGTGTGGAGAAGCATTATCTTACCGAAAGGAATATGGTCTTCCACTTGGCTAGTTGTGATTGGTCAAAGTTTGATTCTCGTAATTGACTGAAGCTCAGCTATCTGTTACAAGGACAGATTTTACTTTTTTGTTCTCTGTTTTGCCGTTGATAAAACAGCTGTGATCAAAACACTTAGTTAAGGCAGCAGAAGCTACCTAATTTAAATGCTTTGTACCTTAGTTTTCTGTTTTGTAATGTATATTAACACTACTGATTTGTCAAGGAAAGAGATCAAGACAATATGCACGTGAAAGTCTTTTGTAAAATATAATTAAATATAAGGCTTTATTATTTGTACTTGTTTATGGTGTCAGATTTGTGTATCTGACATATGTCTGTTGTTTAGGTAAAAACCATTTGAGTTTCGCTCATTTTTTGCAGGGCATTTGGGCTTTAATGACTGGTTTTGAAAATTCCTAGTAAGATGTTGTCTTAGTCGATTTTTATTGCTTGTTGTAACAAAATGCCTGACTGGGTAATATATAATGAAAATAAATTTATTTGGCTCACAGAACTAGTGACTGGGAAATCTGAACCACATGACACTATTGAGAGCCTTCTGGTTTGTGTCACAGCATAGCAGGGGCCATCACATGGCAGGAGTGAACACTTAAAAAAAGAAAGGGAAAACCATTCAGTCATCAGGTGAAATAAGACATGAGAGACAGCAGAGAGGTTGGGCTCAATCTTTTATAACATCGAATTCTCAAACTAATCACAACTCTGAGACCTAACTCCTATTTCAGCAGTTAACCATTTCATACATTATCCTCCTCTCTTAAAGGGCCTATGAGTTTTGCTGGGGACCAACCACATTCAAACTGTAGCTAGTGCCAAGGTTTAATGGCTGATTGCTATTATTCTGTAATATAGTAGAATAAATTGAGGAAAGGATTGTTATCAGCTGGATGATTGGGCACATGATCTATAAGGAACATTCTAATTTTGCCATCTCATAAGTAAGTAAGATAGTTTGAGAAAAATGGTGTAGCCTTAGTAGAACAAAAAGTGTTTCTGGCCATGAGTATGAATAAAAATAAAATATGAAGCAGTTTGTTTGTGGTATTAGAGATTGAAGCCAGGGCCTTTGCTTTAAGCTACAGTCTCAGCCTTTTTTTAAAAAAAAATTTTTATTTTAAAGAGAATAAAACAAAAGAGAACAGAACAAAGCAAATCAGAGCAGAACAGTGCAAGCAACACAGCATTTCACAGCAGGACAACTGGACATCAACAGTAGCTACCATAATGTCTCTTTTCTATGAAATAGTTGAGCATACCTTTACACACCATTTTTCCCCCCTTTTCTGTAGACAGGTGTTTTACAGAGTTATTGAAGCTAGACTCAAAGTTGTGATCCACCTGCCTCAGCCTCAAAAGTTGTGGGTGTAGAAGTACAAACCACCCTGTCCAGCTAGAATAAGTATTTCAAAATATGTGCAAGTTTCAGTGTCCGTGACCAGCTATCTTAGCTAGCATGTTTTCTGTACATGTGTGAGAAACAGTGTGGTCAAGAAAAACAGCATTCTAACTCATGTATTCACTCCTAAATATCTATTCTGCTGTATATTAGAGAAGCAATTTGTTTGCTCTAAAACTGTATGAGAATCTAGTTGTGACTATTGCCTTATACTAAAAATAATGTTTTTCTTTTTAAGGTGCGCCAACCTGTCATATGCATCAACAACCATGTATTTTGCTCTATTTGTATTGATTTGTGGTTGAAGAATAATAGCCAATGTCCAGCTTGCAGAGTTCCCATCACTCCTGAAAATCCTTGCAAAGAGATTATTGGTAAGGTTCTTATTTCATATGCATACATAGATTTTTTTAAATTTCCAGGTGTATTTTAGAAGAGACTTAAACTGACAGTTTTTAGTGATGTTATTTGATCAACATCATGCTGGTTGAATTAGTAATTTGTATAATGTATATGTGGAGTAACTGAGCCGAACAAGGCGTTATGCTTCATGGATCTGTATTCCGATAGAGTCTGTTCTTATGGACCAAAATGTTAATGGCTAAAGCAGAGATGCAGGGAAGAGGCGATGATGAACAGAAAGTTTAGGAAAGCTCACCTAGAATACTGAGAAAAGCTTTATAAAGTAGATGATCTTTAAGCTGGGCATTTAAGGATGAGTAAAATTTTAACTAGAAAAATTAGGGATACAGAGCATAGTTTTGGAAATGATCAGTATTCTACTTTGGATCTGAATACTGAAATCAGATTGAAAATGTAAGTTGAGACCTTATCGTTGAGAACCTTGAATGAGAACTGAGTCAGGGACTTATTTTGTGTTAGAAGAAGAATGAAACAAGGGAGGGGTATGATCCAGTGTGTTCTTTGAGCATATTACTTGGGTAGTGATATAGAGGTTGCATTGTAGGAGAGAGACAGGATGAGGCTGAGACAGATAGATTTTTGCTCAGGTAAATGAGAGTGTGAGTCTGGATTACAGGTTAAAAAGAAAAAATATTCAATGCCATATTAATGCAAGTGAGAGGTATTAAACTTGAACTGGAGCACTCACTTCAGCAACATACATTCTAAAACTGGAACAATACAGAGAAGATTAGCGTGGCCCCCACATAAGGATGACACACAAATTCATGAAGCATTCCCTATTTTTATACAGGAGATTGAAACTTGACCCCTATCACTCATCGTATACAAACTAAAACCAGAACAAATGAAAGATCTAAATATTAAAATAGAAACATATACTGTGCTAGAAGGTGAAGTAGGTAAAACTCTTGAAGGCATAAGCATAGGCAAGGACCTTATGAACAAAAACCTGACTGCATAAGAAATAACATCACGAATCAGCAAATGATTAATCAAATTAAAAAAGCTTCACAGCAGAGGAAACCACCAACAGAATAAAGTGACAGTCTACAAAATGGGAAAACATTTTTGTTAGCTATACCTCTAACAGAGGACTAATATCCAGAAAATATAAAGAACTCAAAAAAGTTTGTCTCCAAAATAAAAAAAGATCTAATCAAAAATGGGCAACTGAAAAGAATAGGCAATTCTCAAATGAGGTACAGATGGCCAGTAAATACATGAAAAAAATGTTCAACACTGCTGGCTATTAGAGAAAGGCAAATTAACATGATACTCATATTCCGTCTTATTGCAGAAAGAATCACTGTCATCAAGAAATCAAATAATAAATGCTTGCAAGTCTATAAGAAAAAAGGATCCCTTCTACATTGTTTATGAGAATGTAAACTGATACACAATATAGAAATCAGTGTAACATTTCTCAAATTACTGACACTAGTAAGTTCCATTTAATTTAGCTATTCCCATGCTAGGTATCTTCCCTAAGAACTAAAGACATCATATTACAGTACTGCACGCATAGCCATGTTTATAGTAGCACATTTTGTAATATCTAAATCTTGAAAGTGGCCTTTGGACAAAGAAGATGTATTTATACGAAATGGAGTACTATTCTACTATCAGTAAGGTTAGTTTAGAGTCACTTGTAGGAAAATAAATGTACCTTGCTGTCATAATGTTAAATAAAATAAATCAAACCCACAAGTTTAAATATTGCGTGGTTTCTTTCATATGGGAAACCTAACTTAAAGAGCAGATAGATAATAGGAAATAGGGAGATCGATTTTCTTTACATATGAGGATCAGTTGGCCAAGAGATGGAGGGAAAGGAGAAGTAAAATGAATTAGGGTGTATAATATATATATGTTTCAGTTCTCTACAATGAATGTAATTGGTATGTGCTGCAAACATTTACTAATAAAACTTTGTTAAAAATCAGAAGAGCTTTGAAAAAGAACACATTTGAAGGGCCTCTTTAATGTTTGGTTTTATTCTCATCTAGGTTTTTTTTTCATTCATTCATTTGTTCATTCATTCGTGTATTTTTCCTATTATACTGAGGATCAAATTCAGGACCTGGTGCATGCTTGGCAGTTGCTGTACTACTGAGCTACATCTCCAACCCATGTTATTTCTTTAAGATTGAAAAAATTAAATCAGTGCTTGGTTTTGCTTTAAGAAACATTGGAAGTAAATGTGAAGTTAGTCATATGTAGATAATACCTTTCAGAAAGCCTAAGAAGTCATTGTAGTAGTCCCAAATCGAGGAAATTTACTTTAAACAAGATTTTTACAAAAAAAGTACATAAGGGGGCTGGGGATTTAGCTCAGCGGCATAAGCGCCTGCCTTGCAAGCAGGCAGTTGTGAGTTCGATCCCTGGTACCGATAAAAACAACGAAAAAGACAAAAAAAAAAAAAAAAAAGTAAAAAAAAAAAAAAAAAAGTACATAAGGAAATATATGTTAGAGGGAAGAACCAGTGGGAGTTTAGAAATTAAAGATTAGAAGGAACAAAGTTGGCTCCAAGATTTCTTTCTTGGCTACTTGGTAAAATCTAGTGGAGGACTATATTATGCTGTGTTCCATTCTATAATGGTAACCTTTCTGTCTACATTTTTATTTACCAAACTTAACCAGAGAGACAGGTGTATTGAAGGGTCTGAATTTTAATGGCTAAACTTACTTGAATATTGCTTCCACTCAGCTTTCCTTTACAACCCTTTTTGCCTACTAAACAAAATCTAAATTTTGTTTTTGTTTTACTTTTTTGTTTTTTCAGTTCTATACACTGAATCCAGTACTTTACACATCTTAGGTGAGCGTTCTGCCACCAAGTTACAGACACAACCCCATATCTAAGTTACATTTCAAAAATTCTCTCACGTAAAATAGCTTAACTATCCTTACATTTGACTAGAATATCCTGAAATGAGCATCTGGAAACTTAATTTTTGATGTCATGATGCTAAGAAAGTAACTTCAGTATAAGTGAAGAGCTCTCAAAAAACTTAATAGTGTATTATTTCTGACAAGTTACAGGACACAGTTAATTTCATCACCGTGGTTCATTCTATGTAGGTTATTACAGTTAGGAAAAATACACATTACTTTTTAAAATTGTGTTACAAATAACCAGCAGTTTTTGAGTACCTTTATTATGATTCTTTAGAGACACACACACATATTTATTCTTTGTATAGTGTGTTGGTTGAGTACAGATATAGTAACTTGGTTTTTTACTTAACAGTTGTCTAACTTTCAGATTTACAGTAGTCCAAATACGAGAATTAATAATATATAGTCATTTCCTCCATTCAGCTTGCTGTGTAAGATCTATAGGTGAATAAACACAATATAATATGTAACTGAAGGTGTTTCTTGTGGTGTTAATATGTACTTTTCTCAGGATGAAGATAGAGAAAAAACCTAAATGGTAGGTTCAAGTGTGTATGTGAGGGAAAGTATAGCTAGTAAGCTGCAAAACCACATAATACAGTGAGAAAAAGGTTCATTTTCTTCTGCTCAAATCACAACAAAAATTAGGATCTTTTATTTATTTTTCCTGTAGGAGGAGCAAGTGAAAGTGAACCTATGCTAAGCCATACAGTCAGGAAGCACCTTCGGAAAACTAGACTTGAGTTACTCCATAAAGAATATGAGGTAAACTATACTTAATGTTTAAAATGATGTCAGCAAGGAGTTTGAAGTAAAATTGAGCTACTTCAGTCCCCAGACTTCTTAAATACCCAATGAAACTTTATTTTGAATTCCATTTTTAAAGTGTCTTACGTGATAAATTTTTTCTTTTTTTATTTCAAATAGAGGAAAATTTTATTTTGTTTTTTCTTCTTCAGGGAAAGAGAGACTAGGACACCAGAGGACAGGAACAGATGGAAGCATTTCGGTTTTTTTTTTCTGCTTTTTTTCAATTTAAAATTTATACCTCAACAAATATGTTATTTTATATTTGCTTCTTTAAGAAATTGAAAGATTATTGAAAAACCTCTTGTAACAGTCACTACGACCCCACACTTACTGTTTGTTTTTACCTGTAAATTCACTGATGATTATAAGCCTGAACAGTTCTGGTAAGATAAATGTGCATTGTTACTATCAGCACAGTAATTTTGCTATAGAATATACTATTTCCTAATTCCTATCTAAAGGTGAATGAGCAAACTGATTTGACATGATAAGAGAATTTTCCAAATAAATTCACGCTAATTGAATATACTGTTAAATAGTAGACATTTAAATAGTAGACATTAAATCCAGTTTTTTTTCATATCCTCTTTGGATAAAAAAAATCTTTATTTAAACTGTATACGTAGAAACTACCCTCAGCTGCCTCAAAATTATTTCTGAAATGCCATGGGCCATAAATAAATGATTTAATAAATATTCATATATGTGTTTTCTGCATATATGCAAATAAAACCTGTTTATATTTGTTAACATTAATGTAAACAAAGCAACTTATAAAACTACTTGACTTGAAATATAATTTAAAATAGTATAGAGCACAATGATAATGAACTCTAAAATATATCCTTACATACTTAGTATTTGTTAGATATTAATCAGACTTAACACTGAGAGATCACTAGCTGTATGAATCTGTTTTCTGCTGCTAATACCATGCAAGAAACTAAGGAATTATTTGGCTCATGCTTCTGAAGCTGAGAAGTCCAACCACATGGTACCAGGCTTTGTACTGCATCATCCCCTGGAACAAAATGGAAAGAGTAGAAAAGGGGCAGAAGTATATGAGCAACACAGAGAAGGGTCCTGATTTGTCCATTTTATTTAGAACCCACTCCCTTGATGAATAACGCACTCCTACAACTACAGCCTTACTCCATTTATGAGGGCAGAGCCTTAGACCTAGTCACTTCTTAGCAGTTTCAGCTTTTAATACTGCTACAATGGCAGTTAAATCTCAACGTGATTTTGGAGAGGACTTTCAGACTATAGCACTGGCATATGGTGCTACTTGGAGTTTATTTTCTGATAACAGAATTTTTAGCAGTTTAATGTGACATTTATAGATGCATAAATGACATCACAGAAAAGTTTTAACACAAGTGTTCAGTGGTTGCATTTAAGATAATAAGCAGTAAATCAGATATGATGACACATCTGTGTAATACTAACACTGGGGAGGTTGGAGTAAGAGGATCACTATAATTCAAGGCTAGCCTGAACTATGTAGTTCAAGGTCAGCCTGAACTACATAGCAAGACCCTATCTCCAAATAAAAAAATACATGGTTTGAGTGGGAAACTTAGAGCATACAGTACTTAAAATACTAATTGAAAAGCAAGAATCTAGAGAAGTTTATAGTTAACTACAGGTAATCTGATGTGAAAACTGGAAAGACATATGACTTCACTCCTATTTCAAGTATGGAGAAAAATAACAAAGATCAAACAATATTAATATTAATCATCTTGTTCAGCATGGTACTTATAATTTACCTCATTAAAGCAATTAAACATACCTCACATTTTTCTTGTGAAATGGACTCTATTTCCCCATTGTTTTTCATTTTTCTTTTACTTTCTGGATTATACCTTAAATAGAATCAAAGGTTTGACTTTTTAAACAAAACTAAAATTAAAATGCAAGCAGCATAAATGTCAGTTTTTATTAGAAACAATACATTTTGAAAATTTAAATTGTATATTACTTTTTCCCTACAAAACTATTATGTATAAAGAATCTACGTAAAGAAATTTGAGTATGATATTAAAAAACATTTGTTTTAACTTTTATGTCTGGTGGTCTATGTCTGCCTGATAACTGTGTGATACTTTTTCAGGATGAAATAGATTGTTTGCAGAAAGAGGTAGAAGAGCTTAAAAATAAAAATCTGAGCTTGGAGTCACAGATCAAGACTATTCTGGATCCTTTAACCTTGATGCAAGGCAACCAAAATGAAGACAAACTTCCAGTTGCAGATAATCCCAGTAAAATTGACCCACAGACTGTATCGGAGTGGAAAAAGAAACTCAGAACAGCTAATGAAATTTATGAGAAAGTAAAAGATGATGTTGATAAATTAAAAGAAGTAAGTTGTAGTGGTTTGAAAAATGTGTTATGGTTGTTTTTACAATTCTGTAGGCACCTTCAAAATTAAAAAAAAAAAAAACTATCTTCATTCATCATTAGATGTTTTGTGAGTGAAGAACAGAATTGCTCAGGTGGACATTTATGTGCAATAGGAAATTTTTTTCATTAAATGTCATTAGCTGCCAAGAAATAATCAGGTGGTTCCATTTGTGACTATAATTGGAGACTGTGTAGGGCTTCTATATGAGATTGCATCTTGTAGAAGAGTAACATCAGTTTAAAGTTTGTGCTCTACCTTTTGTGTGTTTAGCCTTGTTTTTTAAAGCTTGTATCAGTGACTACCTTGTGTTCCTAAAAGCAAACATACACATTTCCCTACTTATAAATGGAAAGGTTTTGACTGTATCTTTTGCAGTGCTATTACCCTTTTCAGATTTTGATTATAAATGGACAGTGAAAGTTTTGATGACTAACTTAAAAGTTGTCAACAGTTGCTTTAGACTGAGTATTCCAAACAAAAGAATACTGTGTCTTAGGAGGCCGATTCATTTTTTTCCTTAATTACTCTCCCATCCATCTAGCATAATAGAACATAAGTGAAAATGATAAACTTCTACAATTTTCCAGCCTAGAGGAAAGATGATCATATTCCTGCCTTCAGCACTAGTGGTGGCAATCAGGTGATCTAGTGCTTTCTTAAGCAAAGACCAGCCTTTGTTCAACTTCAGGTTTATCTAACCTGGATTCTGGTTGTGTTGAATGGAGATGGTTTTATAGTACTCTGGTCTACCACCATCCTATCTGCAGTTCCTAAAATATGGTTTTGTACTGAATTACTAAATCCTGTAACCTGAAATCATTATTGAGCTCCATGATATTTTGAAGAAATGCCACTGTATATCAGCTCTCAGATCCTCAGTGAGGTTAAGTAGCAGGGAAGTTATCTGTGACTTAGTGTTAGGCATCTTCCATATACAGAATAGATGCTGTTTGGGCTCGGAAAAGGCCAATATGAGAGGAAGAGAAAAGTGCTTTCAGAGAAGAAAAAGAGAAACTACTGACATCATTGTACCTAATTTGTTGCAAGTTTAGTAGAAATGTATTGTTTCTTTGTATATTGATGACCAGCCTTAGTATGTTAGAAGAAAAAAAAAAACATTATAAAGAATGACAGATAAAATGTTACTGTTTACCAGTCTGTAACTTCTCCTTTAAGTTGTATACTTCTTGAGCCATTCTAAGTTTTATGTGGTCATCTTCATAGTTGACTACATTTTTGGTAATGAATGCTTCTTACAGCATGGAACTTTGTGTGACAAATACTCTGGGGCACATAAGAATAATATGGGAAATATATTTAAAAGAAAAATACACAAAGCACAATCAATACCCACAGTTACCCTTAGTCTTCAGAATAATTTGGGATATTTAATAAGATCATTTTTATTACTTGCTGATACTAGGGATAGGCTATAAAACAGAACATCAGTAAATAAGAAAACCTGGACTACAGAGTCAAAACTCAAATGTGAACTCAAATGTGAGTCTAACAAGTGATATACTATAAATTAAATACAAGATTAAAAATAAAGTGTTAGCAAGAGTAAAATAAACTGCTATTTTCTGGACTGGGTGAATTTGAACTATCATGAGGCCTGATCGCTAGCTAATCAGTGTTAGAATAGTTAGCTCAAGTCTTTATTACTCTTAGGTGCTACTCATTAGTAGGCAAAACTCTACTCTTTGCAGCATTTGCCCATTCAACTCTCAAACTTGAAAATACCTGTTAGTTTGAGGAACTAACTGCCTCATAAAAGGAAGTTTTAAGATAGCCATAGGACTGCCAAGAGCCCTTAAAACATGGGGTGGTGATGCAGTATGCATGGGGAGGGATCAAATGAGTTTCTAATTTAAGCTCATCATCATCAGCACTAAGTGCCTCCCCTTATGGTACAGTGCTTGAAAGCTTAATTCATTGTGTAACTGAGGAAGTAAATGGCTTTCCTTATATTTTCAGAGGGGCAGTAATGGTGTTTATCAGTCACTTAAAGAATTAACCCTTCACACCCATAGTTGGTGTGAATCCTGAGCCCAAAAGAAACCTGGAAATCTAAGTAACTGTATTGTTACACTGTGTGCCCAAAAGAATGTTCTCTGCCCTTTTTTCTTGTCTGTCATGATGCATTTGTATATAGTTGGATAAGAAATAATTTCCAGATTTTCTGAAAATTAGTCAAAAGCGTTATCAGAGTTGAAATGTTTTTAAGCCTTTCTGTTTTAAACTTTTCCTTCCACAATGGTTCTTGTGACTCCTTAACTTTGAATGTAAATATTGTAATCAGAGTTTTCTTTGCCAAGTGAGTTGAGTTTGGTTGATTGTCTAGACTTACTCTTTGTTTGAAATATACAAATGCAATAACTAAGAAATTTAAAGAAATCAGCTTTTAAGAAGATTTTAAAATTTAAGAACATCGATTTTAGGTGTCCATAATCAATATTGAGCCACTATATTTTTCTAGCAAGTCATGTTTTCTTTGGTAACTTTTAGGTATTACATAATTCAAGAACATAAAGTCACATTTTTGTTTTTAAATTCAAGGAGGATTCTGTGAGATTTATTGGAAAATACTGACATAATTTTAAGATTCCTAGAAGTTGCAGGCCAAAGAACTAGGAAAGATTTTTGAAGAAAGAAAAATAGTTAGTTATAACAGATTGATCACTACAAAAATATTTTTAAATAGCAACCAAGAAATCAACTTCATAGGCCAAGAATTAATTCTTCAACATTAGTTTGCAAATACTTCCATGTAGTATAATAATTACCTTTTTTACAACATTCAGTTATATAAGAAAAGAAAAAAAAACACATAAATTTACCATTAGTATGTTGTCTTAGTGACTTTAACTCCCTAACAGCATTATTTCCCTGGACAGAATATTTGTAAAGTGCTTGGGGAACATGGATTAAAAATTTATAATTGTATTCATAGCTTCATATGTTATTCCCAATGTAATTGTTACGTTTCTGAAGACCATGTTCTAGCATTCAGTTTTCTGATAGTACTCTAAAAATGCAGGTGATTCATCATAGTTTTTACAAGGCACTTTTGTTTTAGCTTGTGCTTAATTATTTTCAATTCCTTTTTTTTTTAAGGTAAATAAAAAGTTGAAATTGGAAAATGGTGGCCTGGTGAGGGAGAATTTACGACTGAAGGCTGAAGTTGATAACAGATCACCCCAGAAGTATGTATTTTCCTCACAGAGCAATGTTTCAGGTTATATCAGTGTTTTAGACTAGGCTGTTGTTGTGATTGCACATGGTTTTTATCTAACTTTTCATTTAAGCAAGTAGCCTGACTTGCCTCCAAAAGTCTAGTGCATACTTTGTGTTATTAGTAACATTGTTGTCTTCATTAAGGCTAATTTTGAATTCTTATCCTTTTTTTATTTTTTTTTCCTTTTCTGTTGTTTGATTACTGAGAGATTGGTTTTATGTTAGTATTTACTTGGTTTTACGTAAAATTTTAATGGTACCAACAAATAGATTACAGTAAAGCCCTTTAGCTGTTTTCTGAGATAATCCTAGTAATAGTTCATGTTCATATAGGGTATGATCTTTATCAGGTACAGTGGTATGTAATGTAGAGCTATTATTACTCTGTTTACAGATCAAAAGGTGAAAGTATAGAGAGGTTAAATTAATTTATCTAAATCTGCACAGCTAGTACGTGGTGGAGAAGGCATTGGAGCTCTGTTAGTCCATCCGTGGAGTCTCTGCTCTCAACTATTACAAAAACAAGACTGTCTAAAATGGGATTCAAAGCATTGCTTGTTTAATTTTGGGGTGATCCGAAGCTATACAGTTAAATCAGTTTATTCTTTCTTTTTGCTGAAAGTTTTCATTCTATTCTAGAGGATAGAAGATTACAAGTGTTGATCTGCTTAACAGTTAATTTGTATGTTTCAAGTTATAAGAGTTAAAAAGGATGAAGTGCTGGCCAGTAGCACTTGTAGTTTTGTTTTGTTTTGTTTTCTCTCTCTCTCTCTCTCTCTCTCTCTCTCTCTAGCCAGGAGAAAAAAAAAAAAAGAAACATGTCGCTTTCTCCCACGGCCTGACTGCCTTGAAGGGATAGCATATCCACACTCTGCTCTTTCTTCTCATTTAATCACTAGATTTCATTTCTTTCTATTTTAAAAAGTCAAGGCAGGGATAAGTAAACAATGAGAATTTCTCCCACCAGAAACAGCTTTTTGCTTGTCATTTGCGAGAAAGGACAAGTTGCCCTCAGTAAAATTGAATGTGGTATGAAGAAATGGTAGAAGTAAACCATAATTATACACAGCAGATATTACTAACCATAGAGAAAAAAGCGTAACTTTTATTTTTAAATAATTCCTTCCACTGTACTCTCCAGACCTCTTTCTTTCCCTTCAGATAATATCCTACTTGGACAAGTTATTGGAATGGATTTAGGGAGTGTTGTTTTTATGTGTTGCTTTGAATCCCTGTTCTTATCATTTATTGGCAGCTTGCTTTGCCAGTCATAGCTATGCTTGTCCATTAGCCATTTCCCACAGCGTACTGAATGGAACTGAAGCTGGTTTTTTTTGTAGCTTTTACTTCTTGAAAAGTTGCCCACCAGATTGCAAATGTAATGTCAACTACAAGGATGTGTGTTTTTAAATATCCATGCTTTCATCCAGATAAAAACTGAGAACTCTCCTGAGGAAAACTGGCCTGTCTGCTCTCCAATAAGCAGCCACACAACTAATCCAACAACAAAATAGTAGGCTTTGCCATCTTTAAGTTCTGTTCCTTCCCTTTGCAGGAAAGGAACACTCTCACTTGAAAAACAATTTGAGCTGACCCCTATTCCAGATCAATTTGCAATGCACTGAGGTATTAAATGCATTGCATTTGATTTATAGCCTTGTTTATTCTGCATCCCCAAACCCTAGTGGAATTGAGAGAGACACTGACCACAACTGAAAATACTCAGATATGGTTCACCTGAGGAGAGCTCCGATTTCTGCGGAAAAGAATATGAAATTTAAAGAATTTAAAAGTAAATGCAAATAAAAATATTTTGCTTTACTTCCTCAGTATAGCAAGTACTTCAACCAGTTTTTTTGTTGTTGTTGCTGTATACTTGGCTAAATGTAAAGGAATACTTTTAATAAATGTCCTGTTAGTCTCTGGTGTATCTTACAAGTTGAGCAGACATATTGTATAAATTCTACAGTAGAAAAATACCATAACAACAGATTTATTTTCTTACACTTGTCATGGCTAGAAGTCCTAGCTGAAGTTTTGACAGGACAGTTTTTCTGTCTTACTTATGGCACCTTCCTATTATGTCCTCATATGGTAGGGAGAAAGGAGTGAAAGCATAGGGGTACTAATCCTATTGAGTTAGGGCCTTGCCCTTATGATGTCGTTTAAATTTAAATTACCTCCTACATGCCTTATATTTGAGTCCAGTCGCATTAGGATTTAGAGCTCAATATAAGAATTCTGGAGTACATGGTAGAACATATTCTTTTTTAAGACATTCAAATGTGCTATTCTTCAAAAGCTAGACTAGTGTAATTTAATGTAAATACATTACATTAATTTACATTAAATGTACAATTTAATGTAAATAAGAGGAATTTTAAACTTTATATAGAAGTAGATGGGTTTTTAAACATTTTCATCATTTCATATTTACTTAATGATTAATCCATTACATGGGGAACTAGTGCATGTACGTAACACATTTTAATGCTTTTTACACCGCCCTCTCCTCCCCCCATTTCTGTTTTTTTAAGAAGTGAGAAATAAAAAAAAAGTGAGAAATACTTTTTAAATTCTATTTATTAATTCATTTCTTTTTCATGGTGCTATAATCCCAGCACATTAGGAGGCTGAGGCATAGGATTCCATATTTGAGCCCAGCCACGGCAATTTAGCAACTTAGACTTTCAAAATAAAAATCAGGGCTAGGGCTTTATCTCAGTGTGAAGACCTTGGGTTCATTCTCCAGTACTGTCAAACAAAATAAAAACAGCATAATTATAATCTTTTAAATTGAAGGTCCAGATTACTTCTTTCCCCTGCTACTGTGTTTCTTTTATCCTTCCTTATATGCAATCTTAAAGTACCTGATCATTTTTCCTTTCTCATCTGCAGTCAGCTTAAAAGCCCTCTTGAGCAGTGGCCAGTTGATGGCATATTGAATAACATCTGTTTTGTTCTTTGTCAGAGCTTCATCATTTCAATATCTAAGTGAGTGGTCCAGAAAATGAAGGGTTTTTTTTTTAATATATTCATTATATTGAATTCATTCATTTCTAAATCAATTAATTAATTTTCACCTGGGGGAAATAGCACTTGTTTCTTCCTTTAGTTTATCCTAACATGAACTCCTAAGAGAATAGGATCTGTTATACAGAACTCAAAGCATGGTGATAGGCCTTTTGTTTTACAAGACTAATATCTGAAGAAAATTAACTCTCCCATACAAATGTTACTGGTACTTTGTTAGTTTCGGTTTGTTTGTTTTGTTTTTTACATTAATACATCAGTACTTTAAGGGTTTTAGTTATACAAAGTAAATACTCCTCCTGACTCCTAACATATAGCTTCTGTTGTTATTTCCCTTACTGCCTCGTAGTTTCTTTGTTAGCATATGTTAGAACTGCAGGTAATGAACATTTTGTGTTTCATGACTTTCCTTCTCTTTGAAGTAGTTGTAGTTACTGTTATATCTACTTTATTTTATAGAGTCCTGGTTCATGTTCTGGTCCTAATACAGCCTGTCAAGTAGAATGTGGTACCCCCAACAGAGAAAATAAGTAGATTTCTTTATTAAATCACTGGGGCAGGGGATATGGGTTGCTTTACAATACAAGTGAATTAAACTGGTGATGCGTGCCTAAATCTCAGGCATGATTCTGGAAGCTGAGGCAGGAAAAACACAAGTTTGAGGCCAGTCTAAAGTACATGATAAGACGCTTAGAAGTAGAATTAGAGACATTTTAAATGCAGCATATGAATCTTACTAGGATATTGACTAATATTGTCAAATATTGGTTGATACTTGATATCGTCAAAAAGATGTTTTTTGATCTTATGGGGTAAATTGGAAGATGAAGCAAGTATTAGATGATACCCTGGCATTACTATTAATTTTATGTAGGTATCATAGTTACTTAAAATACACATTTATCTCTGTCCATTTTGGCCCCTAAAGCAAATTACTCATACATTAGGTGGCTTGTAAACAGGAGACATTTATTTCTTAGCTGTTCTGTAGGCTGAGAAGTCCAATATCAAGGCCAACAGATAAGAGGTTAGATGAAAGCTAACTTCCTGATTCATAAGTGCTTTTGCTGTATCTTCACTAGCAGAAAAGCAAAAAGCTCTCTGAAAGGCCTTTTTAAAAGGGTACTCATCAGATACATATGTTTAAATATTATTTCTCTAGTGTAATGAACAGAAAGTGTAAATAAATACTAAAATTATAATAGATATTGGGAAACGGGAAGAAAATGTTCATATGCAAAGGGCAACAAGAAAGAGGTATGGAGAAAAGGGAAAGAAAAAAATAGAAAAGAAAAATGGCAACAAAGGTTTTGTAAATAAGGAAGAAAAGTGGTTGAAGGGAATTAGGGGAAAAAAGAATCAAGATATGTTATATACAAGTACAAATTCCCTATGATAAATGTGATCATTATGTATATCTAAAATGTACCAATAAAATTAACAAAAATATTAAAATGAAAGGATACTCATTCCATTTATGCTGTCTTTGCCGTGATGATCCAAAGGTCCCCCATGGTTCATTTACCACATACCATTTCCCAAAGACCCTACCTCCAAATTACCATCCCATTGGGAATACAATGCAATGCAAGAATGGAGAGGGGCACAAAAGTCTGTGACACCATTTCTTTTAGAATGATTACTTTAAAAATGGACTTCAGTGTATGTTAGCAAAAGAAAAGGGGACATAAGAATTAATGAGGCTATGATCTTAATCATCTTAAATGTGGGAAATGAGTATACGGAGGTTATATTGCTTTCTCCCTACTTCTATTAATGTTTATAAATAATTTTATTATAAAAAGTTAATACCAGCAAAACAAGGTCCAGGAAATTCATGGTCAAATGAAGTTAAGAGATAAAAATACACGAAACTCTTAAATACTGAACAAATACTAAACCAACTAGCAGAGTTTAGAGGAGAATGGCAGTATGA